CGGCGGCGGGAGGCCGCAGCAGGGCGATGGCGAGCAGCCGCCGCTTGCGGGAGGAGGCAGCCGCCAGGCTGAGCAGCGCCATGACGGGAAGGCACGGGAGGAGAGGATTGTGGGACGCCGGCGGACTCGCTGGGAGGAGCGGAGGGGGGCGGAGCCCCGCTCCCGGCCCCGCCTCCCCGGGAAAGGGCGGGGCGCGTCGCCATGGCAGCGCCGAGCGCGCGCTCCCGCTGCGGAGAGCCCTCGCCGCCCTCCCGCCGCCGAGGCCGCCCTCAGTCCCGTCATGGCGGCCCGAGGGGGACGGGAGCTTCCCCGCCGAGCTGGGGAGCGGCCGAGCCCTTCCCGAGCTGCCACCTCCTCAAGAGGATTTTTGGTCCGACTGCAGAGATAAAGGCGTCCTTTTTGAGAAACCGGACTGCTGAAATACGGGGGTCCTCAAGGCCAAACCACGCCAACGGCAAGCATCGCTCGTACTGGTCAGCAGCTCCATTAGTACGGCGGTACTTTGCAAAGAGTCTCTCCCGTTCAGCAGAGCCGGTTAGCGATCTCACGCTTTCTCCACACGCAGCCGGACAGCGATGCCGCTGTCAGAGGCGAAGAGGGGGCCCGAGCTGGCGCTGGTTTCGGGGACGCGGCGCAGCAGCTGCCCCGGCGGTTTCCTCGGCTGGGGCGCAGACAGGCCTCGGCCCGCCGAGCCGCGAGGGGAGCGCTGGCCGGAGGGCGAGGTGTAATCTAGACGGCTGGTGGCACGGCACATCTCCGCACGGACCGAGTTCTGTATTCCACACCCTTCCCGGGGTTAAGCTGTGAGCTACCTCAGAGAACTCCGTCAGCTAGCACAGCTCACGGCTCAGCCATCGTTCCTTTGAGACCAGAATAATGCAGCAATAGTATGGTTCCTAATTAAACACCAATTTAGGATGACAGAGGTATGCCATGGACCACACTTATAATGGCCTATATACTCCTATCGGATTGGCATGCATAGCCGTGAGGAAGCTATAACTCTGTGTGGCATTTCTAATCACATAAAGATTTCTTCAAAGCTACCAAAGCTTGACTACTGACGCTCTTGCCTTGGGGGAGAGTTGTAAGCTCATTTGCGGGGGAGAAAGGCAGACAGACAGACGGAGAGCAAGAGGACAATTGGCTTAAAGATGATTTTTAATGAGGAAGGCTTTCTGTAGCCTGCGCTGTGATGCACAACTTTGCTTCTGACCAGGATTCACTTCAAACGACAGAGGCGACATTTCTCTGTCACTAATCTAATTCTTCATCATAATTCCATTTGGCAGAGCTTGGTCTGAACAGTGCCGCCCAGTGGCATCGTTCAGAAGGATAAACAGAAATACTAGGCTTATGGCCTTCCATACATCCACTTCCTTCGGTATGCCCTTTTCAGCACTTAAGTTTGACACGACAAAACATGATAATTGCAACACTTTGTCGGGGATAGCCTGGACAGACAGGCTGGCCAACACTGCAGCATCTTTTGAGTGATTTCAAATGTTTCTGCAATGTTTCCACATACATTACCGACACAGCCTACATATATAACTGTACATGTATGCAGATACAGTGCAATCTGGATCGATCCGACCTGCAGCACAGGCTCTCAGCCGTGTGATACGTGTCCAGTATTTCCACCCTGTCAAGCTCTTTGGATGTGCGCTACACGGAATATCCTGCGCGTGGATAAAAGAACCCTGACTTGCGGTAGCACGGTATATTTGATGCAGCTCTGGCGTCTCGCTAATGGAGGCTTAAAAAAAAATCACTCGACAAACACGTATTGTTAAACCTCACAACACCATTCTGAGACAACTGTATTATTACGGTCTCGTCTTCGTTAAACAGGGAGAGAAGAGCCGGCTCCAATATGCCTGTACGCTGCGTCAGTGATAGAAGCTGTTACATACTTCCGATAAGACCCTCAAATTGACGATGGAAAAAACACAGTTGATCATTCAGTTCATACTCTCTTTAGTACAGACCAACGCTAATTTTTTGACTAAGGTAGTTTCAAAGTTCTGAAGCAAGCCCCAACGGCATAAGAAATAAACATATTCCTCTCATGAAATACAAAGAGGAATGTTTAGTGTTCTGATGGAATATCGAAAATGACGTTCTGTCATTCACCTAACACTGAAAAAACACATCAGCAGACTGGTGGAGAGGAGGCGATTAATTCTGAAAAAGGGATTAAAAGCGCGAAATGCTAGCAGCTTAGTTTACAGATAACTAAGGGGAGGCTATAGCCCATGCTGTAAACATTTAAGAAGGGTGAGAATTTATTAAAGCTGACAGACGGAAGGAGTGCTGGAAGTAATGGGATCCCATTAAATACGGGAAAGCTAAAGATAAATAGCTGGCAAGTCATTGTCACAATGGAAATGTGATAGGATAGTTGGTATCTCCTCATTTAGGACATTTAGAATTAAAATGGCTAAGACGTGAGAAAATTACCGGCACCGAAAAATCTGGCATTACATATATGTGTATATACTTACAATATCAAATGGCCACGTGGTATTTGGTGGAAAATGTTATAATTAGTAATTTTAATATTCCATTATCATGAACTGAGCAAAAAATCAGCTTTAGAATTCCCATTTTCTGTGCTAATGCATATCATTTTAATTTTATACACTTTTAAGGCTAATAAGGTACTTACTTAATATATTTGATATTAATATTTTCCCTGCAAAGTTTGCCTTTACCTGCTGTTCTTTCTTTAACAACTCTCCAATGCCACCGGTTTTATTTCCTCCCCCCTACTATTTCAGTCTTCTTTCCAGTTCCCATCTTCCCTTCCTCCTTTTGAGACCAGTTTATTCACATGGTACCAGGTTATTGATACCTGTACAAGGCACTGCACAAACCCTGAGAGAGACACAGAAAGAAAAAGAGGCCATATACCTACCTATAGTGGTCAGAAACATGACATCCCCTTCTCTCAGAGTGACCTAACCAGGAGAACAAAGCTCACGCTATAGACACAGAAAGCCAACAGACGAGTTTTATAAACTTACACTGCTTAAAGTAGCTTGCCACAAAAAAAAAAAAAAAAAAAAAAAAAAAAGAAAGTCTGTGTCTCTGCAGATTTAGCTGTAGAAGCAAAGGATCTCCTTGGAGACAGAAATCAATGCATGCTCCAGAGCTGTCAGCGAGAAAAGTTTACAGAAGCAGCTCAGCAGAAGAAATGTAAGCCCCAGCACACGGAGGCAAAATAATACCTTACCTAGAGTTCATTGAAGTTCTTAAGTTCTTTCTCATTAAAGGTGTTTAATATGATTGTAACATTCTAACGAACTTCACTTACAGCAACAAGTACTTATTTCTTCCAGCTGAAAAAAGCAGAGTACAATTTCATAAAGACTATTTATAGAACTAAGATTTATAATTATTAAACATTCCTACAAAATGGAAAGAATCAACACTGAATGCCAGATAATCAGTATGCCAAGGGGAGACTGAAACCTCTATTTTGTATGGTAACGTTGACAATTCCAGTTATGGCAGGCATCAGAATAAATGAAAGTGTCCCCTAGAGCTGTGGAAATCAAAATGAATTCAGGAGTCAGGCTAGAGGATAAAGGAAAGTGACAATACTCAATCATCATTTACAATCAACAGTATTGGAAGGCTATGAACACAAGGAGAATGCTTCACCAAAGTATATGAAGAAAGAGGGAAAATTAATGGGAAGATATTAATGCAAAAAAATTTAAAAATGGGAAAACAGGACAATGGAGGTGGGGGGGATAGAACCCCTCACTCAGAGATATAAAATAAATTTTGGCAAGTAGAATATGTGCCAAAAGGCACAATACTGATTTGAAGATAGGGACTCTAGAAAAATATGAACTCTTAATCCTATTAAACCCAACTATTAATTTTGGTAGGTTTTTCCTGTTCTTTTTTCTTAAATAATCTGTCATGTATTTTGGTTATTTCATCTCAGTCTGTTCTGGCGCTTTGTATTTTTGCCCAGTAATGTATTGGCTGTAGAATACATGCTGTTACATTCACATCGAGTCTTTCTAAGATCAGCCTTGCATTATTTTTATTCTGAATATTAGCCATCTGGCACTGTGTGCTGCAGTATTTAGTGCCACAAATAATAATGAAAAATATGGTAATATCTCATGATACTTCAGCGTAAAAATATAAGACAGGGTATAAAGCTTTGGACGCATAATCTTAAAGCTGCCAAAGCATGCTGCTCCCTCTGCCCTTGTTTTCCATAAATGATTCTTTGACTGGAGACAGCAGTGGTAACGGAAAAGTCATTGGTTAATGCACATTAATGAAACTGCATTTCTTGCAGTTCAGGAACTGGTCCTGAAGAACAACGGGTAGGAAAAACTCCGAGATTTATACCTTTCTGTTCAGGTAGATGTGAGCACAGCCAAGACACATGAGAAAAAGGTATTTGGCTTCAGGTATATCGGAGAGGGCTCCGTGTTTTCCACATCAGTCAAGCCCCGTAGAAATGCTTGAACTTTAAACAAAATAGCCTTTTCCTTCTCTCTCCCCACATCAAAATGCGATGACGAGACCGTTGCAATAGTAAGCAAAACTCTTGTTCTCGCTGTAGTTAAGTTGCATAATTAGATGGGGCTTAAAAGAGGTGAGAGCTAAACTTTAACGATTCTGTAGGCTGGTGCAGAGGTGAATTGCAAGCTAAGTCACAGAACTTACCAAGCTGTTGGTGCTTCAGGAAAATAGTTTAAGGTTGTTTAGGTTCAAAGGCAGCGAGTGTTTTCATGAACATTCATTTTAGAGAACACTCTTGCTGGCAAGATGAATTTACCTTTACATATTTCTCTAAGGTTGGATTTATTTTTGAAGATTGGCCAAGCAGCAATTGGGATGGCAAGACCTATGTGGCCGTGTTACATTGCTGCCCTGTCTGCGTTAAGAACAACCATTTTCATCAGCTCTGCGCTCTGTAACCTCTGCTCACTGCTGGAGCATCCTCTGTACTTGGAGCACGAGCATAAAGCATAAGGTGCCTCCGGGCACAAGGAGCTTAATGTTTCCTAAAGAAATGAAATAATTCATGAGAATCATAAGTAACAATTCCATCAGCAAGAAACGGGACTTGACTTCCTTCTGTTTTCACACAGACCGCCCCAAACAGAGACAACAGCGTAACATGAAAGATGGTAATGCTAAACAACCTTTGAGTTTCCACCTGGTAACAAAGGGTCCAGCTCGTCTGACTCTGCCATCGTCACCCAGGAGCTGCTGGCCAAAGCAGCGGCTACGTTTGGACTGTGGGACATCCAGAACCATCTACCGCATCTCTGCTGTTCTTTAGCCTGGCGCACGTAGCAGAGGTGTCCAGCCTCAACTGGGTCACCAGATTTACTGCCCCGCGAGTAGATCAAATCTATAATGAATCCACAGCATGTCCGATTTTTTCCAGGTATGTGCTGGACCAAGGATCAATGCCTGAGCAGTAAATTGTAACAACACACTATGATAAAGAGAAATGGGGATTCTCTGTGACAAAAGTAGACAACAAGGATGATGTCTGTGTGGCACTCCAAATATATATGGTCATAACCTGATCCTAATTACAAGAATGTAAGTTTATAAATAACAACTAATCCCAGTTTTAGAAATACAAAATTGTGGCTGGAGAGAGGTTCTTGCTCACAAGGGAAGTGCCTGAAGTGTCCTCATC